TCCCTTGCTATTTACAGCTGTGGAAAACCTGCTAGAGGGTCAGTTGTGAGCCAGTCCTGACTCAATGGCACGTAATAGCAACAACAGGCCAATAATGTGAACTTATTTTTGAGGTTTGTTCCACTTTTTACCAACTCTATGCAGGTCTTCTACTGTGATCACCTTGAGAGTGGTCAGTGGTGTTAGCAGGGCCTCAGGGTCATGAAAGTTGAGGTTCATGTGGTCCATTAGTCCTCTGATTTCTTGCAATATGCATTTGCTTTTCTTCCTCCTATTTCCTTCCAGAAAGGGAGAGACCATAAGTGGCAACCTTAGTTGACTAGTCACAAGACAGCAGTTGCTACTCACCAAATAGGATGTAGACTTGGTCTTTGTGGATAATATTATGCCAATTTGACCTTCGTGTCACTCAAGATTATGGCTCATATGATAGAATTTGTCTATATCCTGTTTCTATTCCTTGTTATAGTAAAAAAAAAAGGTATAGGAAGTGAAACTGCTTTAGAATCTGAAATTGTCACATCTGCAGATTCTATAAATAATGGAAGTACTGTGAAATTATTTTTCTTCTAATGATGTAATTATTTGATTTAAAGAGGGATAAGTGACTATGGATCATAACAAATTATGGCTAAAATTGGGAAGAATGGGAATCCTAGAACACTTCATTGTGTTCATGTAAAACCTACACCTAGACTAAGAAGCTGTCCAAACAGACCAAGCGAACTATGGTTTAAAATAAAAAAAGATGTATATCAAGACTGTATCCTTTCTCCGTACTTATTCAATCTGTATACTGAACAAATCATTAAAGTAGTGGACTTTATGAAGAAGAATGTGGCATTAGGATCTGAGGAAGACTCATTAAGAACCTGCATTATGCAGATGATATTACCTTTGTTTTTATAATTCATTCTGCTAAGATTAGTAGCAGACCAATTATAAGAAGTGTCAACATTGTCCCAAATGCTTGACCTGCTTTATAAGTCCATGATTTCAGACATCAACAGCTTCTCCTTTGTTCAGTTCTCTTGCTCCTCTTTGGCCTTTGGGTTTGGTGGTTCACTGGAAGGTCTCCCACAGACTCAGATCCATCAGAGGGATGACTTATGTGGCCACAGGTATGCAGGCTGATTTTGCAGAAAATGGTGAGTGACAGGCCAGGACTCTACAGGCTGTCAGTTGTGGTGTAGCTGGATGCTGTGTCCCAGGAGAGTAAGCATCCCAAAAGAGCGAGAGACTAGCTCTGAGGTCCTAAGAGTTTATATAAGCCTCTAGCAGGGTGAGGTATATCCCATCCTAATCCTCTCTCCTTAATACAATAAATACTTCAGCACAAAACAAACAGTTAATGAATGGCGAGGAAAGACATGTTGAGTGATAAATCTCAGGCACCCAAACCCTTCCTTGCTGAGAATGAGGAGTGCTTGAAGGGCTTGCTGCAGAAGATCAGGAACTACACTGATAAGCCTTCAATATGAATTATATCTCAACATCAAGAAAACAGAAGTCTTCACCACCAGACCAGTAAGCAACATCATGGTAGATGGAGAAGAGGTTGAAGTTGCCAATGATTTCATCTTGCTTAGATCCACAATTAACACCATTAGTAGCAGCAGTCAAGAAAACAAGAGACTTGTTGCATTGGGAAAATCTGCTGCCAAGGATCTCTCCAGAGTACTAAAAAGCAATGATGTTAGTCTAGAGATTGAAATGCAGCTGATCAAATTCATGGTCTTCTCAATTGCTTGCTATGCACCTGAAAGTTGGACAATGACTAATGGCAACCGAAGAAGAATTGATGCCTTTAAGTTGTGGTGTTGGAGAAAGTACTGAATATTTCATAGAACACCAGAAGAACAAGCAATTATGTCCTGGAGAAAGTGGAAATCAGTGTGTCCCTTGGAAGCAGGGATAGTGAAATTCCTCTCACATATTTTAGGAATGTTGTTAGGAGTGGCCAGTTCTTGGAGAAGGACATCATGGTTGGAAGACTGTCCAACAAGATGGAGTGACACGGTGACCATAACAATGGACTCAAATGTGTCAGAGATGGTGAAGATTGCCCAGGATAGGACAAGGTTCAGATCTGTTGTTCATAGGATCACTATGAGCTGTATTCAACTTGATGTGGCATCTAACAATAACAACAATAACATAAAAATGAAATTTTCGGGGATTTACTTGAATTCATTGCTCACTTTGATGCATTTTTAGCAAGCCATATCTCAGGAAAGGGCAACTCATTTGTGGATGTCAAGGACTTATTAAAAAGGGCTTTCTGAGCCATTGACTTAGCCACATACATGTGCAGGATCATATATATAAGGTATGTCAGTCTATCCACAAGGGGATTTACTAGTCTCACCATTAGATTGAATGGATTAGCAGCAGAAATTTGAGAATCTCACCACCAGCAAAGAAGCACAGAGAATACAGTATGCATTCTTTGGGGCCAAAGATTCCTGTGTTAGCCAGACCAGGCCTACAAGAGCAGCAGCCACTTCAAAGAACTGGAGATCTGATGTGAGACAGAGCTGACTACTGCCCCACGGAACCAGAACTAGGAGCCTTCGTCCAAGCTTGTTGGAAGATGAGTGGGGCAGAGGTGTGGGGTGGTGACACCACAGTCAGTAGGAGTAAGAGAGGTTTGTAACACTGGCCTAAAGCTGCGAGACTAAAGTCTGAAGGGTCTGTGAGCACATTTCAGAAGCTATCCTGACTCAGAAATGGTTTCCTATTGCCAGTCTGAATTGTAACTTGTTAACTTTTCTAATAAACCCCACTATGAGTATGTTTTTGTGAAGTCTACATAGCTGTTTGGAGTGGATTTCAGACCCAGTAGGACAGTTGTTATTGTTGAGTACGATTGAGTCACAGTCGGCCCATAGCTAACCCTCTACTGGGTTTTCAGAGGCAGTAAATCAAACAGGAGGAGATTGCCCATCTTTCTCCCATAGAGCAGCTGGTGGATTTGAACTGTGTGACTTTGGGATCTTAGCCAGTTTCTTACCACTAGTCTCCCAGAGCTAGTGGGAGCAGTAGGATCGATATTATAAATAGGTGTGGGAGCATGGGGGACAGGTCTGATCTAATGGAAATTGGTTTTGTATTGCGGATGTCATTTATGGGGACAGATCCCCCTTGTGGAGTCAGTAGAGGTCAGATATGGCTGTTCCCACATGGCCTCTGCTCTTTTCACACTATCGGATATATCTAAAACAATGCATGAAGAATTAGTAAACTTAATGAATGATGAGTTTCTACCAATTATTCTTAGTGAAATCAACATAGCTCTGTATTTCAGTTTGTCTGTATATTCCAATTATGATCTTTCTCTTTCAGGTCAGCAACATATTATTTTAAGATGTATATCTCCAACAGATGGAAAACCTGTTGAGCAAGTTATCCTATTAGTCTAGAAAGTCATACCAGTTAGGAAATTCCAAATTAAGTATTTCACAGTTTGTGTGTTGTTGAAAATTGATTTCTCAAAGTGTTGAGGCCAGTCCTATGACAATGACCCCAGTATATCAGGGCTTTATAAAAACATACAATAGAACATTGTAGAGCATAATGAATATGTCACTTTTATATCCTGCACTGTGCATTCATTCACTCTCAGGATACTGTAGCATACAGTAGATTGTCGTCATGATCCAGAAAAGACAGACTGGAGTGAAGCCACTTATGCCCACAGCAGCAGAAAGAGAAGAAATCTTGGGAGCAATGGGGAAAACACCATATTGAATGTTTATATTACAATTATTAATATGACTAAAAAACGAGAAAATGTCACGTTGAAGGCTAAGATGTGCCTGACCCAAGCCATAATGGTTAAGTAAGATTGAAGGATTGCTGTCTTTGAATTAAGATGCTGGTGAAGAGAGTTGCACGTATCATAGACTTCCAGAAGAATGAATAAGTCTCTCCTAGAAGTACAGCCAGAATGTTCTTTCAAAGCCAAAGTGGCTAAACTTTATCTTACATATCTGGGATATGTTATCTGGAGGGCTTGGTAGAGGATCAGCCAAAAATAAGATCCTCAGTGAGATAGGTCAGGACAGTGGCTGCAACAATGGTGTCAAGGTGAGGATGGTGTAGAACCTGCCAGCATACACAGGGTCACTTTGAGTCAAAACTGACTCAACAGCTACAGTAACATAGAAACCAAAGAACATTAGTAATTTTTAGGAGTAAGAGAGGGGACAGGGGAGTTTTTACTTAGGGAGCATTGAGCTTATGTTAATGGTGGTGGAACGAGTTGGAAAATGATAGTTAATGGTTACACAACATAAAGAATATAATCAATGTCACTGAAGTATACATGTACAAACTATTGGATGGGTGAATGTTTTATTGTATAAATTTTCACTATGATTTTTTTTTCCCCCACTACTATTTTTTTTTTTTGGTGACATGATTTTTTAAAAAGGCTAGTGGCATAGTCTGTAGGGAGCTGCACGGCTAAACCAAAAGGGGGTGCCCCTCTAACCATTGCCTCCCACCCTCCTCACCATGGACGGAAATACTGCCTTCATTGTCTGAGAGCTCAACCACAACATTTATCTCCTGAACACTAAAGCCCCCAAACAGACCAGTTACTGACAAATCAACTCTCAACCATGGCTACCCTGAGCATGGGATTTTCCTCCATGGGATCTGGTCTTTCAGAGGGAGATGAATAGACTTCTGGGTAGTTCTGAGCCACTAACCTTTGGGTCAGGGAGGACTGGGCCTTAGTGGTAAGGAATCGTGCTGCTAACCTGAAGGTACATGGTTTAAATCCACCAGTGACTCTGATAACCAAAGATGGGCAGTCTCCTCTCATGTGATTTACAGCTTCTGAAAACCAACTGGAGAGTCAGCTAAGAGTCAATCCCCACTTGATGGCAATACACTTCTAAGACCTTGCAATTGTCATTCCCCCCAGATGGGAGCTTCTAAAGGGGCAGGCCTTGAGGAAATGACTGTGAGGGTTCTGTGTCTTCCTCACACAGTGTGCTCCCTGGAAGAACAATGCCTGCTGCTCGGTGAACACCAGCCAGGAACTGCACAAGGACACCTCCCTCCTTTACAAATTCAACTGGAATCATTGTGGCAAGATGGAGCCGAAATGCAAGCGCCACTTCATCCAGGACACCTGCCTCTATGAGTGCTCCCCCAACCTGGGACCCTGGATCCGGCAGGTAAAGACACCATCTCTAAAACATGCGTCATGCACTTATAGGAAGTGCTTGGCCCATGGGTAGTAGAGGTACGACGTCAGCCTCCAACCGTGGTCCTCTTTAAGGCTGAGACTACTGAGATCCCTGGCTGCAAAGGGCTCTTCCTTCTTCCCACCCACCCAGGTAGACCAGAGCTGGCGCAGGGAGAGGATCCTGGATGTTCCCCTGTGCAAAGAGGATTGTCAGCTCTGGTGGGAGGATTGTCGCAGCTCCTACACCTGCAAGACCAACTGGCAGAAAGGCTGGAACTGGACCTCAGGTGAAGACATGAGGGGGAAGGACAGAGAAGGTGATTCTGATTGGAGTTTGGGAAGATAGTCTGGCCCACACAATAATCACCTTTGTTCCTCACAGGGATTAACCAGTGTCCAGTGAGGGCTGCCTGTCACACATTTGAATTCTACTTCCCTACACCTGCTGCCCTGTGTGAGGGCCTCTGGAGTCACTCCTACAAGGTCAGCAACTACAGCCGAGGAAGCGGCCGCTGTATCCAGATGTGGTTTGACCCAGCCCATGGCAACCCCAATGAAGAGGTGGCGAGGTTCTATGCCGAGGCCATGGGCAGAGCTGGGTCCTGTGTGCCCGAGCCTTTTCTGATCAGCCTGGTCTTAATGCTCCTGTGGCTCATTGGCCAAATCACTTCCACTGCTGACACCGAGATAGCTAATCCTAGATGGCATCTTTACCCTGCACCCAATCTGGGTGCCTAGGCTCAGCTCAACTCAGCTAAACTGTCTTAGATGAGAGACGCCGCCCCCCCACCCCATTGCCCTACTCATTAGTTTGTAACTCTAGGTGGGACCCCTGGGGATCCCCTGACAGCTTATTTTAACACAATCATGTGCTGCATCACATCTATTTGGATGACAATGACCATATATATGCCCATAGCCCAAATCCTTCTAAAGCTTATTATATTGACCTTTCATGATCCAGTTATTTTCTGCTTTGATTTTTTTAAATAAACATGCATTTTGATTAACAGAAGTCCGACTGAATCAAGGAGCATTTCTGAAATTTCATAATGAAGTATAGATTTTTTAAAATTTAATTTTATTAATTTCAATGAATGAAGTATAGATTTTTATATGTATTTTGTACGTGTATCCTTCTGGACTCTGTGCTGCCTTCCAGATTCTTTCGCAGGTACATACAATACCTGCAACCTGAAAATGAGGTAATGTCTGTGTTTTAGCTATCTAATGCTGCTATACCACAGATATGACAAGTGAATGGCTTTAACAGAACTTTATTCTCTTCCAGTATAAGAGGCTAGCAGTTCAGGATATAAGCTCTGTGTTGGTTGTGGAGAACAGCCCTTGTCTCCTTCAGTATCTGTAGGCCCAGCCTTCCTTGGACTGCTCCATACATTCACTGTCAGCAGCGCCAAGGAGTTTCATTGTACCGGGGCCTGGGTCTAAAAGACACACTCCATTCCTGGTGATTATTTCTTGATGGTACTAAGGGTAATGCCAACTTGGCTTAATTTTCTAAACTTTCACCTCTAGATGAGGGGTTTTACAGGTCACACCTTAGGGGAATTCTCTTTACATCTGATTAGGGATGTGATGAAATTAAGGAGCATTACATACCCTCTTAATTGTCCAACAGCTATTTGGGTTTTCAGACTGTGGAGAACAATTGCTTCCACATTAGATCCATATATTTTGGGGAATCGAGTCCAATCCATGACACACTGGAACATGAAATCATTGAGAGAATTGCGACTTCCAACTAATGCTAAGGAACCCAGGAAACATACTTACAAGGCTTATTATTCAGTAAACTAAGAATTCTGTGCAATCACAATGCCATACCTTACCCATACTCTGTGAAACTGGTAATTTTTGGCACACAGCCAATCCCCGCCAACTAATTATACAGTTCCTTTCTTGGCGTCTGTGAAAGCAGCTTTTTAGTAAATCCAGAGGTGGAAAATTAGGTGAATGTAACATATAGGCCATGAGTCATGAACGGGTTAAAATTAGAGACAACCTACAATGGTTCATAATCATGAATGGATGATACTTTGCAGCATGTATCAAAACATTCTTATTACTAAATGTATTTTAATGTACATTCAAGTGTTTTTTATGCATCAATAGTATACAACATGTTGTTGTTATGTGCTGTCGAGTTGCTTGTGACTCGCTGAGACATATAATGATCCTATGTACAACAGCCCTAAACCCTGCTCTATCCTGTGCCAATCTTATTGTCTCCAACACACCTAACCCCATTACCCCAGTGACAGAATCAATCCATCTCATCGAAGGTCTTCTTCTCTTGCGCCATCCCTCCACCCTCCCAAGCATGACATCTTGCTCCAAGGACTGGACCCTCCTTGTAATATGTCCAAAGTATGTTAGACAAAGCTTCAGAATCCTTGTCTCCAAGGAGCAGCTTGGTCTCACCCCTATAGGACGAACTTGTTTGTTCTCCTAGCAGTCCATAGTATATTCAATACTCTTCTCCAGCACCACAGCTCAAAGGCATCAATTCTCCTTCTATCATTCCTAGTCATTGTCTAGTTTTCTGACACATAGCAATTAATTGTAAAGACCATGGCCTGAATCAGGCTCACCTTAGTCTCCAGATTGACATCATTGCTCTTCAGTACTTTGGAGAGGTCTCTGACATCAGACTTTCCCAATGCAATTAGTCTTTTAATTTTCTGGCTGCTGGTACCAAGAGTGTTGATTGTAGAGCCAAGCAAACTAAAGCTGTTTACAATCTCAATCTCTTCACCATCTATCATGATGCTGCCAAAAGGCCCAGTGGGGAGAAACTTTGTTTTCTTGATGTTGAGCTTCAATTCATATTGAAGGCTGCAGTCCTTGACCTTTTGCAGCGAGTACTCCATTCAGGACCTCCTCAATTTCAGCAAGCAGGGTTGTGCCACCTGCTTAACAAAGATTGTTGATGAGTCTACCTCCAATCCTGCTGCCACATTTCTCCTCGAAGAGCCCAGCCTCCTGGATAATCTGTTCTGCATATAGATTGAAAAGGTATGGAGACAGGACACATCCCTGGCGTATGCCCTTCCCAATTTTGAACCATGCAGTATTTCCTTGCTCTATTCTGACGACTGCCTCCTGGTTCAGATATAAATTTTGCATAAGCACAGTCAAGTGTTCTGGGATTCCTATAATGGCTAGGAAAAGTCACACTGAAAGAGAAACTCAACAGTTAGCTAATACCCATGATGTATCCTGTGAAATACTGACCCACCTTTGGGTTTCTAAGGCTGAAAATCATGGGAGGAGATGGTCTCCTCTTTCCTGAGGAGTTTCTGGTGGATTCAAACTGCAGGAGAGGTGTGACCTCTGAGTTAGCAGGCCACCTTCCGGTGGACTCCACCATCAGAGCTGCATGAGGTATTTGAATATCACATTATAAATAGGTGGTCTCGGCATTATGACTAAATTATGGAATTACGGTAAATTCCATTCCTAAATATTATTTAATTTTTTAAAAAATTTTATTATTCTTTCCATGTGTACTGTCAAATTGGATCTGACTGGTACAGGAGGAGATTGTCCCTCCTTTTCCAGCAGAGCTGGTGGATTAGAATCGCACACCTCAGGGAGCTCTGGTGGCCTAGTGGCAAGGAGCTGCAACTGCAATCCCAGAGACAAATGGTTCGAATCCACCAGATGCTCTGCCGGGTAAGGAGGGACAATCTCCTCCTGTACCAGTCAGATCTGATTTGACGGTACATGCACACAAAAGTAATAAAATAAAAAATTAAAAAAATTTTAAAAAAATTTAAAAAAAAAAAGAATCGCTCACCTCTGGGATTGAAGTGCAGCTTCTTGCCACTAGTCCACCAGAGCTCGCTCTAAATCTGTCTTTAAGTGTAAGTAAACTGGAATAGTTATCCATAACAAACATTAGTTAAGTGTCTATTTTACTGTATGCTATATTGTATACTCTCTCATCGATGGCACATAACACCACCACCATGTAGATGGGTGAGGACATGCTAATAGGGCATGTTAGCCTATCCACAAGGGGATTTCTATTTATTATTCCACAAGGGGATTGGTAAATCTCAACAACCTACAAGAGCATTGGCTGGTTTTGCCATTGAATTGTGCAAATAAGTAGTAAGAGGCAGGCAGATCTTCTGGTGTCATTGAAGAAAAAGCAAGGGGGAGCTCTGGTGGCCTAGTGGCAAGAAGCTGCACTGGAATCCCAGAGGTATGTCGTTCGAATCCACCAGATGTTGTGCTGAAGAAGGAGGGGCAATCTCCTTCTGTACAAGTTAGATCCGATTTGACAGTACACACACAAACAATAATAAATTTTTTTTTAAAAAGTAAGACCATGTAGCATGCCCTTCTATCTCCAGCTACACCTACAACAGCAACACGTATGGCTGAACTGGAGACCTGATGTGAGATGAAACCTTGGGGGGTGGGTAGAGAGCCAATATTAGCAAGGCTGTGAACTTTGTTCAGCAAGTGGGAGTGGAAAGCCAATATTGGCACGTCTGAGAACTTGGGAACACTGGCGTAACACAGTGAGGCTCAAGGCTGAGATGTCTGCATGCGTATTTTGGGAGCCATCTTCACTGTTTTCTATTATTAATCTGGATTATATCCTTTTGACTTCCTCGATATGGTTCTGTGCAGTCTGTGGTTTTTGAGCTAGTGCATCAGATTTTGAACCTAGCAAAGAAGTAAGATTGGTATTATGATGAATAGAAAGAGGTATGGGAGAATGGGAGACATGTCCGACCACATGGGAGTTGATTTTATGCTACTGATGCTTCACAAAGAGGACAGTTCCCTTTGTAAAGTTGATAAAGGTTATACATAGTCATGTGGCCCTTGCTCTTTTCCCAGTAACACATAGATTCATGCATGTCTTGTAAAGGATTTGAAGATAAACACATTACAGAAATATGACTCATAGCTTCATAATTCCCACTGAGAGCACCAAAGAGGAGCTGGGATTAATCTGAGGTTCATCACCAAGTAGGGAGTGGAATTTGGGTAAGAATCCACACTTAATCCCTTAGACAAGGTCTCTTACCCTTGCACTTGGCTGCCCTCACACCCAGGACATCACTCTTACATCACAGACAGAGACTAGTGGAGGAGTTACTGAGTTCCTCAAACTCAAATTCATTGCTGTCTCATTGGAACTGACTCATAGCTGACCTTGCAGTAGATTTCCAGAGGCTGCAAATCACACAAGAGGAAACTGCCGATCTTTTTTCTGCAGAGCTGCTGGTGGATCTGAACTGTCAGAGAGGCTGTCATTGGATTAGCAGAGCTCCTTTATATGGTTCCTAGAAGTGAAAAAAGCTTCCTTTTCCTTCTTTTACTAGGTGTATGGTAGGGTGGAATCTAAATGATTGAACACTTTTGTTGCTTTCTTTTTAAAAAAATAAATCAATCCAAGCCATCACAGCACAAAAAAAAAAAAAAATTAAAAATCACCTACCCACCCTCACAAAATATATAATGCTGAAATGAGCAAATTAGTACTTAGTGGAATGTTAAACCTGGAGGATAAATTACCAGAAGACAGATTTCCAGGTCAGAGAATAAATGGATTTATAATTCCTCTCCTTGAAATCTCCATCCCATCACATACTGACAGACCTTGGTAGCTGAAATCTTTAAATCTCTATTTTCACACCTATGAGCTATTTATCCTTTATGTTTCCCTAACTCCTTCTAAGGGTCATGGCACGTAG